TTATGATTTCTAGTTAGAGCCTCGTAAATATTCATTATTTCATGATCTAATTAATATCTATAAAACTATGAGTTTAGGAATAGTGATATTGTAGACTGCAGACTTTAATATTTATTTTTAAAACACATTTTTCCATATTTTTTTTATTTTGATTCTTAAAAATCTTTTGCCTGCGGGCACCTATGCCCCCTTTCCCATTTTTATTTTCAAATTTCAAATTTTATCAATTTTTTGTATAATTATTTTTATTTGGTTCCTTATAAACTCATTTGCCTGCGGGCGCACTTGCCTCCCTTAAATTTTTTTTTCCCATAGTTAAACTCTAGTTCAATAATTTCATAACCATTTTTTTAAATTATGATTTCCAGTTAGAGCCTCATAAATATTTATTATTTCATGATCTAATTAATGTAAATAAAACTATGAGTTTAGGAATAATGATATTGTAGACTGCAGACTTAAATATTTATTTTTAATACTCATCTTTCCATATTTTTTTTGTATTTTGATTCTTTAAACTCATTTGCCCGCGAGCGCCCATGCCAACCTTCCCAATTTTTATTTTTAAATTTAAAATTCTATCAAACATTTTTAAAATTTTTTTTTATTTTGATACTCAAAAATATTTGGCCTGCGGGCGCCAATGCCCCCTTCCCATTTTTATTTTGAAATTTAAAATTTTATCAATTTTTTGTATAATTTTTTTTATTTGATTGCTTAAATCAATTTGCCTGTGGGCGCACATACCTCCCTTCACATTTTTTTTTCCATAATTAAACTCTAGTTCAATAATTTCATAACCATTTTTTAATTTTTGATTTTCAGATAGTGCCCCCATAAACATTCATTTTTTCATTAGTTTATTAATGTAAATAATACTATGAGTTTAGGAATAGTGATATTGTAGACTGCAGACTTTAGTATTCATTTTTAATACTCATTTTTTGATTTATTTTTTTTATTTGATTGCTTAAACTCATTTGCCTGCGGGCGCCCATGCCCCCCTTCCCATTTTTATTTTGAAATTTAAAATTTTATCAATTTTTGGTATAATTTTTTTATTTGATTGCTTAAATCAATTTGACTGCGGGCGCACATACCTCCCTTCACATATAATAGGTAAACAATGACAATAATAATTATTGTTGGACGGCACATACGCCGCGGCAGGACAAGGTATCGGCGGCGACGGTGGCTGCTATCAGCTGCGGCTGCAACGACGTCGATGGCACGCCGTTGAACGGGGGGTTACGGCAGCGACAATCAGCAACCGCCGGGCGGCGTCGACCAATGGATAGATTCGGCCGAGTCGAAAAACCGGATTTCGTAACTAAGCGCCGGCGACAACGGCGATGTTACGTGACATAAGATATTGATATATTATAATATACGCGACACTGATGCACGAAAATGCGGCACCGAGCAATGATCGCGCGACGAACGACAGCACGACAATAACGTTTCGACGTCGAAGACACAACTTTGCGAAATAACGCGACAACGAGTTAATATAAATTCGCGATATAAACGGCGGTAACAGCCGCACCACGAGCTTGTGGCTAAAACGGCAACACTAAGTGACGACAGCGCACGGTCCGCTTGCATGGAGTGTACGGCAAAGACAAAGAAGTAGGTCGCCGGTGGCGACTCGGCTGGAATCCGGCGACTACGGGTCGCGCGATGCGCCGTCTCGTGGACCGGTTGCAAAAGCCGTAATAAAAACGGCGGCAATTTCGAACATACTCCCCCATGGGAGGCGCTGCATCACATCACCTTTGAAAGCCGCCGGTACTAATACCTATTTTATATAAATTGAAAGGCCGAAAAGTAACAAAAAAAATATAAATGTAAATAAAACATAGTTAAACAAAGTAAATATATCATAACAAATAACAATTGTACCAAAATGTGAAAAGGGACACAGTAAAATAATTATAATTATATAAGGTACATAATAATAATAATTGCACAAACAGCAATATGACATAATATAACAAAAGGAATAATTGCAGATAAATGAATATAAAATAATTTAATAGCAGGCAATATTGCAAATAAGCCTAATCAATCACGGGGACCTGTACCATTACCTGCAGGTAATAAAACGAGCTTAGCTGCAGGACGAGTGACTACACCGCGTGAGGTTAAAACGCGCGCGACCCTTACCACGCCATTTTTACCCAGCAGCACTTCGAGTATTCGTCCAAGTCGCCATTCCAAGGGAGGGGCTAGGTTATCCCGGATGGTGAAAATCTGGCAGGCTTCAATATTGGGTTGACCGTGAGCCCATTTGCTTCGCTCTTGCAGCGTGTGCAGGTACTCGGTAGACCAACGGCGCCAGAAGTGTTGGTGACAATGGTCCAGCAGCTTCCAACGGTCCGTGAGCGGGCGGTCCCGACACTCAGTAGTACGCGGCGGGAGCGCTAACAGCGGCTGGCCTATCAAAAAATGGCCGGGTGTTAGGCAGTCGAGGTCGTGGGGGTCGGTCGATGTTGGAGTGATGGGACATGAGTTCAGTACAGCTTCAACTCGACATAATACTGTGGTGAATTCTTCATAAGTGAACGTATGGACACCCATGATCCGAACGAGCAGACGTTTAGTCGAGCGTACTGCGGCCTCCCACAACCCTCTAAAGTGTGGTGCACTGGGGGGATTAAACTTCCAATCGCAATAGGACTTCCCCGACATGATGATCGATTGTGCGGCGGGGCTATTAATCAGCTGACGCAATTGTCTGTCGGCACCAACAAAATTTGTCCCACAGTCGGAGTAAACCGTCATGGGCAGACCGCGCCGAGCGACGAAACGGTCGAAGGCGGCGAGAAAGGCCGAAGTGGACAAATCCGATACGAGTTCTAAGTGGACGGCTTTGAGTGCTTTGACGCTCATACATACGAATACCGCTATATATGCCTTGTACATCCGAGATTTTCGTAGTTTATTTTCGCGCATAGGTATAGGCCCGGCATAGTCAACACCGACACTCGAAAACGGACGACATTGCGACACGCGTGCTTCTGGTAAATCCGCCAGGACCGGCGTGTGGATAGACGCACGGAGGCGCCACGCAACGTGTGCATTGACTAACGACGGAATGGATAACGGAACGCAGCGACACAATGCAATATTGCCGGTGTATTAATGAAGTCATTACCCGTGGTCCCGAATGACCAGTGACTTTGTGCCAGTGGCGACACACTAGCAAAGCGACATACGAGCCTTTAGCTAACAAAATTGGATGTCGACAATCGTACGGAAACTTTGAATGACGTAGGCGTCCACCGACGCGGATTATACCTTCGGAGTCGACAAACGGGCACAGCCGTGCCAACGGCCTGGATGCTAAGCGACGTAAGTTTTGCAAGTCGTTAACCAATGTCGGAAATGTGACACGTTGAGACGCAGCGATTACCACGTGAGTTGCACCGCTCGAGTAAGCGCATTCGATCTCTCGACGGGACGTCGGCGACATATATCGATAAAACGGCGCACACGCGCGACCACACGTATAAGTTCGTCGTACGACGAGAACCGCGTGAACCATTCGACTGTAGGTACGGCTAAACAAACTGCGGGGGCCACGGATTTTACTTCAGGCAATTCCGCAACGGGCAAACGCGCGATGTCTCTCCCCCATTCCTGTGGAGGGTCACGGAGAAAGGCGGGCCCTTGCCAATATAATTTTGTGGTGCGGCAACTCAGACGGCATCAACCCACGGGACGCACAATCCGCTGGGTTCATTTCCGAGCTGACGTGACGCCATTGACAACTCGGTAACAGCGTCCGTACCTGGTGAACACGGTTCGACACATATTGCTTGAACGTGCCATGGCCCATGGGGCATTGTTACCATACAATCGACGAATCCGTCCAGGCACACATGTCAACGATGTCGATGCGCGTATTTAATAATAAAAATATTCGGCTCATCCAGCGCGATAATAATACGGCGGCATTCAGCTCGAGCCTCGGAATCGATAAAGGTTTGAGCGGCGCTAATTTGGTCTTGGATCCAACCAACATGACGGACGACGCGCGCGGGGCATCATGGACCCGCAGAAACACTACCGCGGCGTAGCCCCGTTGCGACGCGTCGCAGAATCCAAACAACGAACACTGAGTTCCGGCGGTTGTATTGAAATAGCGCGGAATACGCACGTTGGCTAACGCGGGTAAGCCATCGACGAACTGCGACCAATCTGTACGAATATCGGTAGGCAAACGCTGGTCCCACGTACAATTGGACTGCCAGGTGCGTAAGTGCGTTGCATAATGTGCTTGGCAAGGAAGATTGACGGCGCAAACAAACCTAACGGGTCGAAAAAACGTGCTGTTAATGATAAAACACCGCGCTTGGTGAATACAATTGCGTCATCGAGGCGAGAGTCGCAACCGAAATAATCGCCGTCGGTATACCATGACAAACCGAGAACCTTGGTATCAGCGCCCTCATCACCGGCAAACGTTGTCGATTTTGTCACCCGAAACTCGTCCGGGACAGCGTGTAGAACTGCGGAGGTGTTGCTGGACCACTTGCGTAACTCGAACCCCGCACCAGCGAGGTCGGATATCAATTCCGCCTGAACACTAAGCGCCTCGACTGCGGTATCGGCGCCGTAGCAAATGTCGTCGACGTGCGTTTGATGACGCAGCGCGTTGCACGATCTGGTAGAACTACGGCAATCGACATCAGCGACCTCTTGTCTTACGCGTAGAGTGAGAAACAGCTCACAATTTCCGCCGTACGTTACGGTATTCAACTCGTACTCGACGAGCTCCATGTGCGGGGACGGTCGCCACAGAATATGTTGATACGCACGATATTGCGGAAGGACCGTAATCTGCCTGTACATTTTACAAATATCGGTAGTAAACGCGTGACGGAACAACCGAAAACACGTGAGCACATCCACGATGTCCCGTTGTAACTTCGGACCCGGAAATAACGATGTATTTAGTGACGATCCATCTGCAACCGAAGCGGACGCATCGAACACTACGCGGAATTTTTCATCTGCGCCACACATACAACATGATGCGGAATAAAATAACGGCCATGAGTGGACGCCACTGACATGTGTCCGAGTGACAAATTCTCCGACATAAAATCGTTATATTTAGTGCGCAATCGATCGTTCGAGCTTAACTTCCGCTCGAGATGCTCGAACCGTTTGATCGCGACCGCCTGAGACCCGGGAAATAACTTATCATGCAATGGCGCACGAAACGGCAACGGAACTGAAAAACGGCCGGACTCGTCACGGACAAAATTATCACGGAATACGACTTCGAATTTGCCGGCGTCGGTAAACTTCAACGGGGCTGAGTCGGGCTCTTCGACGTGCCAAAAACGGTCGATTAATTGTTCCACGGACGTGAGTAAAGGCACGGCGGTGGTTTGCGGGGTCGATATATCCGACGGCGACACTGAACCAATAAGGATCCACCCGAAACATGAACTGAACGCGGCCGGCAACGACTTATTCACAACAACCTGACGCCCGTCGATAATGGATGAAAACAGGTCTGCGCCTAATAATAGATCAACCGGCGCAGCGATATGGAAATTCGGGTCAGCCAACGCTAAGTGCGAAAACTTATCGTGTACGGACGGTTCCAACGACTGCCGCGGGAGGTCACCGGTTATAGACGGTAGAACCCATGACTCGAACGCTAAAACTGGATCGGACGAGTAGCGTGGCACAACATGGCAATCGACTCGACCTTGTACCGTAACTACCGGCACACCGGCTAAACCCGAAACCGGAGCCGTCCACGTCAACCAACGGAGACCTAGCCGCTTCGCGCACGGCAATGAAATCGCATTTATTTGTGACGCCGAATCAATCAACGCGCGGGCCACTTGGAAGCTACCAGAATGATCACGTATATGTACCAACGCCGTGCCAAGCACGACGGACGGAGATCCAAGCCCGGATAATAGCGATGTAGGAACGGCAGGTGATTCCACCTCCGATGACGGCGTGACGTCCTTAGCCGTTGAATGTAACAAACTATGGTGACGGCGTGGACAAATTGTACATTTGGCGGGCGTCTTACAACTAGGTGCCCAATGACCGGGACTGAGACACGAAAAACAAATACGTTTACCACGCGCCCACTTCGCGCGTTCATCAGCGGACAGTGAACTAAATTTACGGCACACGTCGAGCGCGTGTGGATTATTGCAGTATTGACATGACAATGTGTGCGGCGACGGCGCCGGTGCTTGCACAGCTGAGACTAATGATGTTGGCGATGGTCGATCAACCTTACGCGACCATTTCGACGGCGCAGACGGTCGGTCCTTAGGACGGGGCGCGAGCGCGTCCTGTTTACCGGCGACGCCCTGTACGCGTTCAAGAATAGCAATACGGTTTTTAATAAACGTAAGCAAGTCATCCACCGTAGGAAAATCACGTATCGCTTCCTTCTCAAACAACGTGCGACACGACGACGAAAGACACCGTGACGCCAATGAAAATAAAATAAAATCGCCCAAGTCTGGGACTTGTAATGCGGTGAGAACTGAAATACCTTCACCGAACACAGACATAAATTTATTCAAGTCCGACAGACTATCAACGGACGAAACAGGTACTTGCAAAATTTATCGACAAACGATTCCGCGACTAAACGCGGCTTGTCGTAACGCGATACTAATGCGGCCCAGGCTACGGCGAATGTGGCT